AAGGCTAAAAAAGTTTTTAAATTGCATATTCTATCCGAAAACATGATAAAAAAACTAAAATCATATTTTTAACTGCCACAAAAAATAAAGGAATGTCCCCCATGTTTTCTCTAATTCTTACCGTTTCCGACTTCCCAATGGTGGCCTCCTTGAGTTGATCACCCTGTATATATGAATTTGAACGGATGGTGTTTTGGCCTCTAGGGACCTCAAAACGAAAAATTAAATCGGTCCCGGGTCCAGGTGTTACCATAAGTACTACGGTAATAGATTATTCCCTATATGGGAAATTCGCCAAAAACCTAATAGTTATATAATATATAGAACAATATTACATTCAACCAGCTGTTAGTTAAAACAAATTATATGGGACTAAAACAAAACGATGATTACAAAGATTCCTTTAAAAAATAATTTGAACATCCTACTATTTTTCTATGCAAATTTAAATAATCTGCCATCCTCATACCTAGGAATTGAATGTATCAATGGTCAGCATTACACATAGTATAAATAAGTCAACTCTAAATATGTCTTTAAATTTTCCAAATGCTGAATTTGTGTCACAAATGCTGAATGTTTACAGCTGTTATGCAAACAAATTATATTGTACTAAAAGCTGGCTTAAAAGGTTAGCGTCGGCTGCTAGATTAAAAAAAAATTAAAACTTAATTTCTAAAAAATTGGGACCCTTAATTATAATTATGGCTTTGACATTCCCTAGTTAAATTATCTTTCTTTTAACACAAAAATAATGAAAATCCGTCTACTGGTTGATTTAGAATGTGAAAAAACCATATTTACGTTTTAATAATATATATGATAGTTTGGACAGATTTCAACCCTTCCGAGGCGTAATACACAGGCGTATTTACACAGTTTATGTGTAGACTACATTATAACTTATAAAATAGTTCTAAAATTAAATGGATCTCCTTTTACAAACGTATATAATAACCAGAAATTTTCAGATCGTCCTTGCGTGTATTTTATGCCACAAATTTTGACGAAAGGCTTTTCATTACATAAACTATACCTATTTACAGCGTTGACCAAACAGTTGGCAAGAAGCATTAATAGATAAGCTATGTACCAAATATGATAATTTTAGCTCTATTCTAATTATGACAAAACACGAAGTAACTAAAAGCAAGTTTTGTTGGTGTAGTAAGGGTTGCAGGAGGTCTACTTTACACTGAATCGACGTTCACTTTTATTGCTTTTGATCTTCCGGCACTGTTGACTCAGCGAAACTGAACTTGTATTTTACCGTATTTCGTTATATTAAAACTGCTGTTGCATTAGGTCAAATTCCCAATAAGTCAATTGCTTTAACATAGACCACGTTTTTAGCTTGGACTGTACTATTTGACTTACTGGGACTTTTGATCTACAGACACTGCAAACATTGCAGTTTTTGACCTAGCGGCACAGGTATAAATTATTTGATCTTCCGGGACTGTTGACTTTCAGCAACATTCCCTAATATAAATAAGAATTTTTTTTATCTCCATCGTACTTGTAATAACGAGCCAGCAAAAAAAAGACGTGAGATCACTAAAATTATTACAACTCTAAAAGTTGTTGCGTTATTGCCTGCCTGTATAGCCTTCATCTCTGGTGACGCAATGCCCGCCCACATCTTAGACCTTCCGGGAATTAGACCTTCAGCAACTCTCGTTTTATAATAATTTATTTACAAAATATACATTGTATGCCCAAGGTCTAATCCTGCAAGGTCTAAAACAGTATCAGTGGATGAGTTTTTTGCATTGACTGTACTCTTAGACCTTCCGGGACTTAGACCTTCAACATACTGCCAGATTAGACCCTCAGCAACAAGTACAAACTGCAAAATGTGTGTCGAAGGTCTAATTAGACCTTCCGGGACTTAGACCTTCAGCAACACTCCCATTTGAAACGCAGAAAAAATATCAAATATAACTGTAACTAGCCAAGACTGTTATATTAGTAAATGTAATAATATAGTTGTGTATGATATAATACACTTTAGTGCACAGTAATAACTGTTTTATAAGTTTTATTTGAGTTGGAAAAGAAAACATCATTTTTGTCGTAAAGGAAAATAAGTTATTCAAAGCTGTATATATTTTTTTACTTTATTATATTACAATAAAAGGTACAAATATTAAAAGTATATATATTTCTAAACAAGAAAATATACCTATATATATATATATAAATAATAAATAAAAAGGTTCCATAAGTATTTTAGACGAGAGACACACTGTTCAGCAAGTAGGCGGTCAAGGTCAATTGGCATGTCACTTGGTCTTGAGCGTTTCATTGTCACTAAAAAGCAAGCGACATTATTTCATAATCAAACATTTTACCACAAATACTAATCATTTTCCATAATTTACTAGGAAACCTTTGTGTTTTATTGTTACACATGTATTGTTTTATGGATAAAAATCATAATCACATCACTCAACAAAACAACACATTTGTAACCATAAAACACAAATATTCATGAATAATACCCCCGTCGCAGCAAACCTGCATACTAAGCGAATTTTGATTTACCCGGCTTGATTTCTACTAAAATATTCCCTATAAATGTTCAGATTTATTTCCTATTTAAATAACATTAATTTTAGTGAGTAGTTAGGTTTGCTGCTACGGGGAAGATGTTGAGGTGTGTTTTTTCAACTGAAATATTGATAGCTTAGTATGAAATAAATAGGGATGGACGAGATTGAATTTTTAGTTCGAGACGAGACGAGACGAGATTTTTTATTTCTCATAAAATTTTGAGACGAGATCGAGACGAGATTTCTCTTCTCATACACAACGGGAAATGCACGTTCGAAATTTTTACCTGATTTTGTAACATTGTTAGATGACTGTTTAAATACTAAAATAATGATAATAGGCAAGAATATTTACAATCTTTCATTAAATAACATCAGCATAACATTTTTTTATTAATGACGCCTAACTTATTAAAAATGCCTACGATTAGGAAACATGGTGATATCAGTTAGGATAGAGTTCAACTTATCCTAAAATAAAATAAATCATAAAATAAAAGCAATATTAATTTTTATAAAATAGTTACTTGTTTTGACTTTTTTTATAGTAATAAAACATTCCTCACACTGCTTACACTTAACAAAACTTCTCAAATGTTATTAAAGTAATATTATTAAAATAATGAAAGTAATATTTACATTAAAAGAATTAAAGTAATATTTACATTAAAAGAATTAATTAAATAAGAACGCCTTTGAAAAGAAAACGCAATCACAACACGCTCCTGTATTGCAGGTATTGCATTGACTTTCTGCAGGCGTTTTTAATTTTTTTTTTTTTTTTTTTTTTTATTCTCGTCTCGATAAAAATCTCGGCCAAAAAGTAATCTCGTCTTGTGTAACGAGATTGAAAATTTCCCGAAAATTTCCCGAAATTTCGAGACTTGACCATCCCTAGAAATAAACCAAATTGCCAAATTTGATTAAAATATATCCATAAACAAGCAAACTAGAACAGTTTATTTATTCTCCATAAGAATAACATGGGAATTTTAAATTTATAATTTTTTAAATTTTCTCCGTAGTCAATGAACATTCAAAAACACTTCAATATACTAAATTATTTGTTTTTTTAAGCTCTTCAAAATGGTCTAGAGAGAAATTTAGAAATTTAAAGTTTTTTAGGGTCAAAAATGAGAAAAACCCATTTTTACCCCATAAAACCCCCCATAAACCCCTGATCCCATGGTCTGATTATGCTGGTTCGCGAACTCGTTCGAATAAATGTAGGTTTACACGTTTGTACCAAATTTAATCAAAATCGGATCAATTTTGCTCGAGTTATTGCGCTAACGGACACATATATAAATATATATATATATATAAATATATATGTATATATATATATGAATTTGAACGGATGGTGTTTTTGGCCTCAGGGGACCTCAAAACGAAAAAGTAAATCGGTCCCGGGTCTAGGTCTTACCATGAGACCTACGGTAATAGCTTATTCCCTATATGGGAAATTCGCTAAAAAGTACGTACATTTACAGCTCGTTTGCAAGACTCACGACACGTGAATGCAGCACAACAGTAATGGCGACTGTCACCAAAGAAACAGCTAATTTGTCAACAACACCAGTGTATTTCAAATTGTGCGTCTTTATTTCTGGCTACATATCAATTTAAATTGTATCACGCTAACACAATCCTTAACTGATTTATTAGTCATTGCCTATATGACGATTTTCGTCATTTCAAATGTCAGCTGATTTCTAAATATTATTTCCCAAATTCTCTGACATTATAATCATCACTTGGTTCTTAATACGAAAATAAACTCCAGAACAAAATCTTACAATTGGGACCAACCACAACTGGAACCGGTTTCATGCAAGATTATCGGCACTACGATTTATTGAACATGAGTAATGAATTGACGCGCAAACTCAAAATCGTCTCGTGCCTAATAAATTTTAATTTGAATTGTAACGAACTGTTGAACTGTTAAGACTACAAGATGCGTTTATATATGAAAATGAAAGTTTGGAATCTCATCTTTCAAATGGTATAAAAATTATTTGGTTTTGGAATAATTTAAAATGAGTTATAAGCTGTTTATAAAAACGTGACACTATATGACAATTCTTGTCATATGGGCATTTTGGAAGCACAGACATTTGACGAGAATCGTCATATTGCTAGTCGTAGGGTTAAAACAAACAAAAAATTCTTTGTTTCGAGTGAATTAAAATCTCGTCCTTTACCAAACTAAAAGTAAAACCCCGTCCATCTTTAAATAAATTATTATTTATTCGTGTTTTTTCTCAAGTGGTAAATATAGAGTATGTCCTGTTTAACTTGAACATTGACTGTAATGAGAAAATCCTCATTCCATCATTCTCATTGTATAATAGAATACGCCTATGTCTACTGATAAAAGTAATAATATGTGCTGTAATTAAAACAAATAATGAGCTAGCTACTCTAATGCTGATGTTGTAGCTCATCCACTAGTGATGAAGAAAGACAGCAGATGCAGGAGGTGGGTCATTTCCACCTTGGAGACATGGTGAATGTGTTTAGACATGGCTCACTGGTGATGCACCACATTGGAGAGACGTCTACTCCTACACAGGGATGTGTGCTTTATGGGACTGTCAGCGGAGCTATTGGTAATTATTGTGTATTAAAAAGACTACAATGATTCTGTCAGCTCTAATGGTTTTGATGGGGCGTCACCCGTCAATTTAAATTTTAATGCATTTTTACACATAAGATTCAGGGTATACACCAACTGCTAAGACCAGTGAGAAACTTTGAGAGTCCTTGGAGGCTAGAGGCCATCTTGGATAATTTCAAACAGCTGCTGAAGAGTTATTTATCGTCCAAAAATATTTTTTCATATACCAAAGTGATAATAATTTAAAAATATATTATACTGTGGGATTAGAAAATGTTCTTTGAAATTTTGTATTGTTCTCCAAGGGAGTTAATGGAAGCTAGCGGCCATCTTCGGTTTGTCCGCCATAAGAGCAATGTTAATTCCGGTTAATGCAACAAGACGTAAACATATTACTTAGGGGTGTGCGAATACCACTTTTTCTTTTCGAATCAAATAGAGAGAATTTCGAGTCAAATTCGAATTTTTTCGAATCGAATACTTTCTTTCGAATAGTGAACATTTTTTAACCGAATACTAACCCTCAAATGATGAAGACTTGAAATCAATGTCAAGTAAACTTATTATTACCTTATTACCATGTCTTCATCTTTTACCCAATAAGGGATTGATGGCGTCAGAATTTCAATATATACAAAAATACATTTAAAAACAACTGAATTCGAGTAGATACAAACATAAATATTTACAAAAACTTTGGCATGTGGATATGCGGTTTAGTCAGACAATTCAGGAAAACTATCCTCAAAAAAATCCTTTAGTGAGTAGTACGCTCTTGACTTAAGGAGAGAGACGAGCTTCTTCATGAAAAGTTTACGCCCAAGACGCTTGATCGAGTGAGGCAGCTTATTAAAAATTTGAATTGCCACTGTATTATAGCTCCTTTGCGATCTTGCAAGCCTAACCCTAGGCACATCCAGTAGCTCGTGCTGCCTTGTTTGGTGGTTGTGAAATGCTGAACGGAGTTGGAGATTGTCGTAATTGTCATATACCAGTAGTGAGCAAGCCAGGATATAATGGCTGTAGACTGTGAGAATTCCCAATCTTGCGAAGATCTTACAGTGGGCAATGCGGTCACTAAAAGTAATGAGTCTTACAGCACGTTTTTGCAGCACTAAAATGTCCTCAACATCCGCAGCATGACCCCATAGCAATCGGCCGTAGCTCACATGGCAGTGGAACATAGCATGGTAGATGTTCAGCAGGTATGGCTGAGTGATGAAATTTTGTAGCTTGAGCAGCAGGCAACATACCCTAAAAAGTTTGCTACTAACTTTGCTGATGTGATCGTTCCACGCCAACTTCCTATCCAGATGAAATCCAAGGAGCTTTACTGGCTCATCCCGTGGGGCATTTCTTGCCAGACTGCAGACACAGTGCCATTCTGGACCAGTGCCAACTCTCAATAACTTAATTACTAAAACTGTTGGTATATATTTTTTTTCAGAATAAGTGTAGATTGTAAATGTATCTTTCGTTTATTTAATTTACTTAGGCCTAGTTTAATTCAATAGGTAACTGAACTTAGATACCTAATAGGTAAAGGTACAAACCTGAACCAAGTTTTATTAGTCAAAGTTATAAAGCACTACCAATAAAAAATTTTGTAAAACACATTCAACCAATTGGGTAGTGATAATCACCTGTGATTTGATTATAACCACATAAAAACGCACATTGTTTTCTTTTACTAAGTAGGGATTTAGGCCTACAACTTACTGTCAGCCCTAAGTTTATGTTTTAGAACATAATCTTTAAAAAGGTAACTTATGCCTAAAATAAGTAAAACTTGTTGTCATAACTTAACATAGCCTAATCTCATGACTTGGGCTTAGGCTACTGGACAACTAGGTTTGAAGGTACAAGAACCTAGACCCTATTTTTAACCATTTACAATACCTAGTTTCAATCTTCAATTGAAATAATAAAGCCCCTTTTAGCCTAAATGTAGGCTAACTTAAACTTAGGCATTTTTAGAATGAGTTTATTAAGTTACATAGGAAATGTATAATTATTAACTCTTAACCTACTTTTAAGGACCTTCTACACGTGTTGCATTCTGCAACAGAGTCCTTTTTGACAAAAAAATCCCAAATTAAACTCCTTTACTTATTTTTTAATTCTTGTGATGATGTTGAAGGCACATTTAGGCCTAAATCGGCTTCTTCATCTGAATCCATCTTGTGTCATTCAACTAAACTTAAATGAAGCCTAGGGCTACAACTTTTAGGCAATATCCAACTATATAAAAGCAACTGTTGTCAAGATATACAAAAATTTTGACTAGCCTAAGTTTAGCTGAAATTCTTAGCGCAGACGTGCCAAACAAACTGTCTCTAAACTCCAACCTCAAAACTTCTTGTCTTGTAACACAGCTTGCGCTAAAGCAAATGCAATAGAAAAAAGAAAGAACAGAAATTGTTGTCTGCTAGAGAAGCAGAAGAATAGAAGCAGACTTATGGCAAGTGCGAATTACGTTTTACTCTGGGATCACGACAAATCTATCTAGCAGACAACATTGTATATATCATATTTCAAGTTTATAAAGGTGACGGTGCGCGTTTTGTTACCATGTATAACTCAGTATAATTTGTTCCAGTATCTTATTCGCCATCACATTTTCAGTTTTACTTCGCTTGAAATAGACACATCTATGTCGTATGCTAGATTTATGTAGGTCTACCGTGATCCCAGAACAAAACGGAACTTGAACCCGATCGCCATCGCCAAGAACAATAAAAAGGCGGATGAATGCTAACGTAGTGTTTTGCAGCACATAATGAGTTTAATAATGTTGAAAAATAATAAAATAAAATATCTAAGTGAGTTTTAATTAAATATTGTATTGCATTTTTATTTAATCGGAAGCAGCTTAACAGTTTTTATTTATTTTCAAACAAAGTTAGAACGGAACTATTTTACAGACCTTGTTTATTTGGCTAATGGCGGAGGACATTATTTCATCGGAAACTCACGACACGATTACACAATAGTTGAAAATGAAACGTTGTCATTTGATAGTCGATAGAAACTGATTACTATTCGTATTTTAGCCCGATGGTAATTTTTTATTAATTACTTGAAACACTTGTTTGCTCAACTTGATGTGTTTTATGTTTTCCAAAGCTCCAACTAATTATGTGACCAGATGCGAAGTATTCGAAATGTCCGAACTATTCGACCACCGTCAGACTATTCAAAAAATTGAATACTCGCAGATAGAACGAATCGAATCGAATAGTAGTTTTACTATTATATTGCATTATATTGCTTTATATTGTATTAATGGACATTAATGTGATAAAATGCATATTACATCATCAAAATACAATTAGCATTGTAGCAATCATCATATGTTAAGGCATTAACTTTAGTTCAGTTTTAAAAAGTGGAATGTTTAGAATCACAGCTAACTCAAACTTTTACTCAAACAAAAGAATTGCCAAACACTGGGAAGAACCAATAAATCACAGTTAAGAACAGAACAATAGAGAAAGTCTAGTAAGCTACTGCTAGTCATATAAGCAACTGCCACATGTTTCAAATTAATAGATAAAAACATTAGATAACTCATAAAAGTATAAAATCTTGGTAATTGAAAATAGATAATATAATAACACAACAAATAAAATAAAGATAACAATTACATAAAACGTTGCTTATTCTTTCTCCTTGTTCTTCTATTCTTTCATAGGGTTTTCTTCATCCACACATTCAACAAGTTGCCATAGTTACTAATGACCCAACCACAGGCTACTAAAGTTTCCATGGTTACTAATTAATCCTCTAAACACAGGCTAATAAAATTGTCATGGTTACTAATTAGCCAGACATAGTAAGCCCTCAGCAAACAGACGTGTAAGGAGCAGATGATTGTCAGTACAAGGGATAATTTGACCTTGAACCTATCATTGATATTTCTTTGTTATTCTTCAATTTTATTTTTGTCTAATGAACTGTGATGTTTCAAATCAATAATGTGGGAAATGTATATAAATGATGGGCAGAAATAGTTTAATATAAAACACATTACACTAAAGAAACACCATTTTTTTTTTACAAAAGTGGTTTTATAAAAAAATTTTATAAACAATGTTGATGATATCATTATGGAGGAACAACTAATTCAGAGCTGTCTGTTTCAATGAAGAGTTTACATTTTTTATGTAATGAAGAATTTTGTACATTTTTTCAGGTCTAGTGACACAAATCAAAAGTGAGCTGTTCGACTTTTTGTATGAATTGCAAGACCGATTGACACAAACTATCAAGCCAGTTGGGAAGATAGAGCACGGGTTTTGGCGGTCTTTCAACACAGAAGTTAAGACAGAACCTAGCGAAGGGTTTATAGATGGAGATCTCATCGAAAGTTTTCTTGATCTCTCACATAAAGACATGCAAGAAGTAGCCACAGGCCTCCAGGTTAGTCTTACTCCTGCTGCATAATTTATTTATTTTTTACTTCTATTTTTTATCCAACTGAAAAAATATTTGTAACCTTCTGTTTTAATTTCATCCTAGGCCTTTAGTTGGAGCAAATATCTTATCTTACTAATATCATAAATGTGAAATTTGTGTGTTTTTTTTTTAAGTTCAATCACGCAATAACTACTGGTCAGATTGGGCTGAAATTTGCCATGATGGTAGCTCACATTCTCGATTAACATATAGACCTATTTTTATCTCAAAAATCCTTTCGGGCTCCACCCCAGTGACTCTGGAGTTTTCCAATGTAACCTTAAGCTACAATTATACTACGACGCTGTTGTCCCGGATGCTAACAGGGCATTTAATCAAATGGGGGCGATTGGACTAGGGATGATAGCGTCGGATGCTAAAAAAACCACCGGACTCTCGAATTGGTGCCTCCCGGCTGCAAAGCTGAAATTCGAGCGTCCGGTGACTTTGTCTCTCTTGGGATGCACAAAATCTGTTGTGGGGCATTGGTTTGAATACGGTGCATTATACTAGGCTGCTAATATCCGAGACGCTCTCTTTCAAACTGCTTTTATCAAATTTGGAATTTTTTAGGGGTGTGCGAATAGTGATTTGTCCTTGAAACACCCTTGCCTCTGAAACAATAAACCCTTACACCCGCGTTGCTGTTTTGACAACAGGTTTATGAATGTGTTCTCTATTTTTCATTTTCCAGAATTAACTATCAATTATTATTATTTGCAAGTTACAAATAGGAAACTACATCACATTATGGTATTCGATGACCCATGTATTATCAACAATTAATAATTCATTACTTATTTTGATAATAAAAAGCATTTATTACAGCATGCAGCACTTATTGATATATACCGTATATAATCATCAAAGTAACTGTTACTTTATACAAAATAAAATAGGTATAAAATTGTGTGGCCTGTCAAACTTTATAAACAAAAATTTTATTTTATAAAATACAGATAGTAAATAGGGGTTGGTTTAAAGGAAATAAAATACAAAACAGATTAATTAATTATTTTGATAAACAATACAAAGGTTATGGGATTGATTGAACTAAAATAACCACAGGGAAACGTATAAGTAGAAAACTCATCAACCACAATCTGTTTAATCAGTACATCGTTAGAGAGAGGGAGGGGGAGAGAGAGAAAGAGAAATAGCAGATAGGGGCGTTTGATAAGGAATCTGAAAAAGTAAACAAACAAAGAAACAAGGAACAATGACGCGACACTCGTTTACAGCCTTATTGTGTCGCCCACTACCACCTGTGTACCACGTGTGTGGCACACGTGACCACTTTTTGTTCCTTCCTTATCTTTCATCATCCGTCCCAAAATGGAATTCCTGAAATAGTTTGTTGGTACAATCTCCCATCCCACACAAGGCGCAGTGCTCAGTGCGCACTGTAGGTTGTCACGGCAACCGTGTGTTGTCATAGCGACGAGCTAATCACGCACTCGCACTGCGTTGTAGATTACTATACGAATAGCTGTGTTAGAAAGACAACGCGATGGGTGGTAGTTTGTCTCTTTCGTATCTCCTCAAAATTACGTTCGATAATCATTGCGTCTTGACTGAGCCGAGGTTCGTGCTTATCAAACCTCGAATGCATGAACAACGTAGAATTGTGATAACTTTGTTTTCAATTACGACACAAATTAAGTGTTTTTTTTAGTTTTGACTTAGTATTAAAAGCTCGGCTCGAACTTCGAGCTTTTTCAAAATGCCCCGAGCCGAGCCGAATAATGAAAAGCTCGAAGATTCGAGTACTCGCACACCCCTACATTTTTTATTTTATACTAAGATCAAGATATTGATATTTTACTAAAAACACACTTTATTAGAACCCCTGAAGCAGCATATATATACAAATATATTTTGGTTAAACCTAATGGTATTTAAATAGATATGTACAAAAAGGGACAAAACATTAAAATAAAATAACATTCCGAAGTTGGGATGCTAGCGTTCCGGACACCAGCATCCCATCCGCCAGCCTCCTAGTATAATCGTAGCCTTAGGAGTATTCCTATTTAAAAGGAATTCAATAATTTGATCAGCTGTTCTAACTAAACAAGTTGGTTCTATGATATTCAATAGCATTAAAAAGTTATAAGGTTTACCATCAGGGTGCAGCACTATTTGTTGAGCGGAGCGAGCGAAGCTCTTTGGGATCAACTTCAATGCAAACAATATAACACCATCACTCAATAACGGCTGAACACATTTCAGCCAAACTTAACAAGATTACTTGGAATAATAGTGAGATGGTTTGTAAACAAACAAATTTCAATTAGATAATGCTAATGCAATTTAAAACAAACTTTAAATTTCCAATTTTTAACATTAGGCATGGGACTAAAGTAGTTATGACAGTTTTATGAATTAACCAGAAAAATGTAAACTAGAGAAACATCAGGCATTTCTAAACTTTCTAGACTTTTCTTTTAAAAGTTTTTAAACCATTCCTACGATCTTTATAAAATACCTTTAAAACATTTTTAAGGCGCGGAATTCACTGCAAATTGAAATGAAATGAAATGAAATGAAATGAAATGAAATGAAAATCGTCTTTATTCTTGAGCGTTTTTCATATTACAACATATGTTTTTCAAAACAACTCACGTCAACATAAATAAATAATATAAAACAAAAGCAACTCTCAAATCTTAAGTTAGGCTAATTAAAAATTAAAATATGTTCTCTATTCCTAATTATTTTACCATTCTTCAAACCATTTGTTATATATTTTTTAAATGACTTTTCACTGTCCAACACCCCTGGCTCAGTCCTGGATGACAATTTATTCCAGATTTTAGGGGCAAAATAAGAAAACCCACAACGGTCGGACTCACAGCGCACACGGGGCATCTCCAGCATGTCATCCTGCCGTGTGCATCGGGATCGCATCTCAGAGCGAGCTCTCAGTCTTACCTTCAGGTACTGAGGTCTCTCCTCTGACAGTACCCTCCGGATGATGCAGGAAGTGCGTAAAAGGCACAGGTCAGCCATAGGCAATAAGCCAAGAGATGTGAGGTCTGATGAAATTCGATCAAATTTTCGCAGATCGCAGACGTACCTGACGCACATGTTTTGCACCCTCTGCATCCGACTCATGTCTCCCAGTGATATAACATTACCATACACCGGAAGACAGTAATCAAACACAGACAGTACAAGTGCCTGCACAAGCCGAAATTTGGTGGGTTTGGGGAACAAGTCACGATGCCTGTACAGCATTCTCAGACGACCTATTGCTCTCTGGCATGCGTAACTCACATGATCAGAAAAGGAGAGCTCAGGATCGAAATGAAGCCCAAGAAGCTTGGGAGCTTTACACTCTTTGAGCGGAATTCCGCCAAGGCATACTCCAGACAGGGGCTCGGACCGAACAACCCTGCTGACAGAAAAAGTCACCAATGAACATTTGTCTCTGTTCAGCTTGATGCCATGGGACATAGACCATGCAAAGACAGAATCCAAATCAGAATTGAAATCAGAGACTGCCTGATTTGCTGGGTCAGCGTCATGCTGAAAAGCCAGCTGAGCATCATCAGCGTATGAATACAACCGACAATGACGCAAATCTCTTCCCATAGATGCGGCAAACAAAGTAAACAGGACAGGTCCAAGACAGCTGCCCTGTGGGACTCCTTTGGACTTTTGCATGGGGGCGGAGATCTCAGATCCAACTTTGGTCTTTTGGCATCTTCCGTTCAAGTAGGAGTGAAACCACGACACTACCTGCTGGTCAAATCTGTAGTGATACATCATGGCCAACAGTAGATCGTGATCAATAGAGTCGAAGGCTTGCGAAAAATCCAGCATTGCCAGAGAAGTACACCTCTTTTCAGCTCTAGCTTTTATGACATCATCACAAAGCAGTAACAGAGCAGTTGAAGTACTGTACCCCCTACGAAAGCCAGATTGTGTTGCTGGAATTATTGACTCCAACTCCAGGAACTCAACCAACTGAGAGACAACAATAGTCTCCAAGACCTTGGAGAGGGCGGGTAACACAGAGATGGGGCGAAGATCGGCCAAAGAAGAGGGAGCACCAACTTTGGCCAGAGGAATGACAATGGCTTCCTTCCAGTCATCCGGAAACACCCCCGTAGCCAAAGAAACATTCAACAGGTGCGTGATGGCCTCAATACAGTACGGACTTACCATCTTTATCATGCTGATCGTTATCTCGTCAATGCCAACAGCCATAGAGGTGATCTTGTTTATGGCATCTTTTACTTCTCTTACTGTTACTGCTCTAAAAGAAAATGTGTTTTCTACACTCTGAGAAATGTTATTTAAGTAATAATCAAGAGTTTCAAAGTGAAATTGAGAGCCAGTTCCCATCATTGAAAAATGTTTATTAATTTCATCTGGATTACTAAGAAATGATGGGAGTTCAGCATTTTTTGCCTTAATTGCCCCACTCATCTTAATTTTTTTCCAAAAATCCTTTGAATTTGAGCATTTTGCTAATTCTCTCTGGAAATAATTTCGTTTGGCTCTTCTAATAGCACTGTTTAGAGCATTTCTAGCTCTACAGTATTGATCTTTGTCCATGTCATTTCTAGAAATCATTAGCTTTTTCTTCCAAAAGTTCTTTTGCTTTGTGAGATATATAATATTTTGGTTTCTCCACGGTGCTTTCTTTCTAGTAACCCTTTTTGTTACTAATGGGGCATTTCGATTAAACATTTCTAAAATAGCAGTGGTTATGAAGTTTAATATATTGTTTACATCACTCATTTTTTGGACTGTGTTCCATTTAACCTGGGAAGCACACTCAATCATATTCTCTATATTAAAATTTGAAAAGTCTCTGTAAGTGATATATTTTGCCTTTTCAGTGGTTCTGTAATGCTTAACGGGTATGTCACAAAAAGTCAATTTATGGTCAGAGACTCGGACACCACGCTTATCATAAATTATAACGTAAATTGCGAAAATATACGGATCTACTTTCTCAATGCGCGGAGCATATCGCAGTGACTACTTACTCTTGGGCACATATTTGTGTTGCCAGCTGATAAGAAATAAGGATTTAATAAGCGATATATCGAACCGCATCAAAATCGATATTTAATCCAATAATACCTCACAGGTTATATGTTGAACTACAGCGATGGTACAGTAAGTTATTACACTTATTAATAAAACGCAGATTGAACACTGTGATCTAATTTAGTCATGTGGGGAAGGTAAGTCGGGGTTTATGAGTATTCGTGACTACATTAAGTGTTTTGAAGTATAAGGTTAGATTAGGAAGGTAAATAGTAGGTTATAGGTAGGTGATCGGATTGTTTATTTTTGTTGCACTATATTATATTTTATCTTTTAAATAGTTGGTTAAACGGGGAAACGATTTCAAAAATGCTTGCATATGGTCTTAACAAACCATCTACAGTATTCTAGCAAATTACAACATACTGACCAAAAGAAAAGAACATTTGGATTTGGACCTTTGGCCATAGCAAAACTAACATATAATTTATGAAATGTGAAAAGTATTATCTCATTTAATACTGTTCTGTAAAATTAATAATTGTTCGGCAAATCCTCATTTTAATGGCTCGGCTGAAAATAGAATCTGCATTTTGTGAAACAGTAATTTGGTTACAATTCAGTAATTTCAAATGTTGATAACAGTAGCCTATCGTATATAAATACTGTTATTTGATTGCCAAGCCACGGACTATACATATGTCCAGTTACAACCATAATAATAAGTTAATAATTAATTACCTAGGCTTATAGAAGTCCACTTTTAACCAAGGTATGGATAATTGTCTCGGCCTGTTCAGAAGTAGGCTACTAATTTCTAATTATATAGCCTATTGAATAATTGTTTGTAGTTTATTAGAAATGTATTTGATTTATTCTTGCTATAACTCATTAATAAGATGTAGTAAAAAAACTAAATTTCAATTATTATAATTTTAATCGTTAAAACAAGAATTAGTTTGACTTTTTTACATTTAGTTACTTATACAAATATCAAATCATGTTTGTTCCACTCAACTGGCTTTCACCTCTCTGAAAGCAATCCTAGTTTATATTGCATTTATGAAATCAGCTAATTTGAAACAAGCAGCAACAAAAAGCTGTGATACACAATGATAACTGTCAAAGTAGAATATTTAACACTAACAGTTATATTTATGTTTTTAACTTAATAAAAAAATGTATGATATTGTGTGAATGTTTGATGGTTTACTTTTTTATATTGTTTAGGTGCAGTGGTAGGACATTATGGCTATTGCAGATGTGTTATACTATAGCATACCGTTAATTTAAAGAATACATTTTCTCAAACCCCTCCATTTTTCCTCCCCCATTGCAAACATAAAGCACGAGTATAACACTGCCAACGAGTAATACTTATACGCCAACTCCGTACGAAAGACAGGTACTCTGTTAGTTGTTTCTATAAAACAGGCAAACAATTGAATCACATTTCACATTTCGTATACCATTCCTACCATTAATCCAGGTAACAGGAATCGACCCAGCCTACAATAGTGGGTAGGGAAGGGGTACCAAATTCAGATTATCTTTATATTAGGTACTTTTAATCCTGAAGCTATGTTAAGTCTACTTATAATTCAATTCAATTAGTGTATTTACGGCATAAATGATTTATTCTGTACTCCTCGACTAAATTATCTGTCTGGGCATCATTAGAAACAATTGATATTCTTGTACAAGATGATTCATGAATGTTAAAGCTTAAAATTAAATTACCCATACAAATACCATCATGGGAAAACTTCATTGAAAATAAAACGTTATGAAAATGTGAACAGCTGCATCATGGCCTGTACAACCTATATTCTTAACTAGCAGTTACCCGGCGCACTTTTCTGCGCTACAAACTATTATTTTAAATGGTAATTTGTTCTTTACGAAAAATAATAAAAATGTATACGAAAAACAAAAATAGAATATTTATTTTACTTAATTGCCAGTGGATAAAAAATGTTTTTTTGTTTTTTTCATTAGGTGTATAAATGAAAGTCTTATTACTATCTGTCGAGCGGTTTCATAGTCCATAGGGTACATACATACATACTTACTCCTTTATAGATATAGATTATCTTAAATAGGCCTACCTGTTGCATAACAGACGTGTTTAAATTTATATTTAAATCGTTAGCCAAAAATTTACTTGTCCTACCACTGATATCTGCAAGGACCTAAACTGGAAACCACAAATAGATGTTGTGACTCCTGTGACACAACACTCAAGTTAGTGTTTTGTTTAGACATCAGCCATGAGGGATGACTCATCCATCCCCCTGTCAGATTATTGAATACCAACTGTAAATAAATTGGATATCAGATAATATGTAAAAGGCGAAAACCCAATTTATGTTTTGAATACCTGAGTTTAATTGAATGTTATTTAATATGAAAAAGAATTGATTTTAGTTTGTTTTTTAACTTGTTTCTCTGATGTGTAGATTGATAATGGCTCAGGAATGAAGCAAGATGCTACAGTCGATGATTTGATCAAGATTGTTGAAGACCTAACCAGGATACACTAGACATAAGAGTGTTCGTATTAATTATTTTATCTCTTGTACATAAACTGTGATGTACAAAACGTGTAAGACTTCAAATATGAAGATTTATTTTGTTCTCCAAAACTTAGTAATAAACTTGTTTGTATAGTAACTTTAGAATGTTTATTTGTTCTCTGCTTCTCTTAATAAAACACTTTTCATCATACTGCAGCGAAAACCGTTTAAGCAAATTTCCCATATAGGGAATTAGCTATTACTGTACGTCTCATGGTACCCAGGACCAATTCACTTTTTCGTTTTGATGCCCCCAGAGGCCAAAAACACTGTCCGTCCAAATTCATATATATATTAGTGATGATCGGATCCAGATATTGGACTACGGGATCCGACGGATCTGAGCTAGAACCGACGCCTGATCGGAAAAAAAAATAGGATCTTGGGCTGGATACTTTTTAATACTTTTCGATGAAATGGCGACCGGTTTTAATGGATCCGATTTTTTTTATACTATTAACACAAAATGTCTAGATATGTGCGAGTATTTGAGATTTTGAGTTCGAGTAGAGTACGGCCTTGAAACTCAAGCTTGACTTTGAACTCTCCAGTTTCGAGCCAGTTTGGTTTAAAATTGTTAAAAATCAATATTTGTTAAAATGTAACTTGTGTTTACATAAAATGATGGATAATTTGTATTACTGTAGGTTATACAGTAATACAAATATTTCTACAGTGTGGAAATAAGCAAGAGGTAGTTGTCCTAATCTATTTTATAGCTGTCACAACAGAATAGGTCAACTCAAGGTAACCCAGCAGTCCCTATCCCGCCCATGTTAAAAAGGCAGTTTTTAGGTACACATAACTTTTACAAATCAACTTTTACCTATCAACTTGAAATTTTTGTACTAAGTTTAATACATCATTACCAACAATAATAGGAAGTAAACAAAGTTTTTGAGCAAAATTAATTTTTTTGTATGATTTTTAAAATTTTATAAATTATTTTGTAATTTTTTTACATATAATATTTGTTTAATTCAAAAATTTATGGTTGTCATGGAAACTGATTCCTATTATTGTTTCTTATATTGTTTCAAAATTGAGGAACACACACACCAATTTTTATTGAAATTGGATTATAATTGAGGAAGAAAAGTGTACCTGACTAAACACCAATTGACTTTCGGAAAACGAAAAAAGTACCCCCTGTCCACGGGTAGTAGTAGGACCCGGGAATGTTGCTGAAAGTCAACAGTCCCGGAAGATCAAATAATTTATACCTGTGCCGCTAGGTCAAAAATTACAATGTTTGCAGTGTCTGTGGATCAAAAATCACAGTAAGTCAAATAGTACAGTCCGAGCTAAAAACGTGGTCTATGTTAAAGCAATTGACTTATTGGGAATTTGACCTAATGCAACAGCAGTTTTCATAAAACGAAATACGGTAAAATACAAGTTCAGTTTCGCTGAGTCAACAGTGCCGGAAGATCAAAAGCAATAAAAGTGAACGTCGATTCAGTGTAAAGTAGACCTCCTGCAACGCTTACTACACCAACAAAACTCGCTTTTAGTTACTTCGTGTTTTGTCATAATTAGAATAAAGCTAAAATTATCATATTTGGTACATAGCTTATCTATTAATGCTTCTTGCCAACTGTTTGGTCAACACTGTAAATAGGTATAGTTTATGTAATGAAAAGCCTTTCGTCAAAATTTGTGGCATAAAATACACGCAAGGACGATCTGAAAATTTCTGGTTATTATACACGTTTGTAAAAGGAGATCCATTTAATTGTAGAACTATTTTATGAGTTATAATGTAGTCTACACATAAACTGTGTAAATGTATTACGCCTCGGAAGGGTTGAAACCTGTCCAAACTATTATATATATTATTAAAACGTAAATGAGGTTTTTCACATTCTGAATCAACCAGTCGACGGATTTTCATTATTTTTATGTTGAAAGAAAGATAATTTTGAGAACTAGGGAATGTCAAAGCCATAATTATAATTAAGGGTCCCAGTTTTTTAGAAATTAAGTTTTAATTTTTAAAAAGTCTAGCAGCCGACGCTTACCTTCTAAGCTAGCTTTTAGTACAATATAATTTGCTTAACATAACAGCTGTAAACATTCAGCATTTGGAAACAAATTTAAAGACATATTTAGAGTTGACATGTTTATACTATGTGTAATGCTGACCATTGATACATTCAATTCTTAGGTATGAGGATGGCAGATTAATTAAATATGCATAGTAAAATTGTAGGATGTTCAAATTATTTTTAAAGGAATCTTTATAATCATTGATTTGTTTTAGTCCCATATAATTTGTTTTAACTAACAGCTGGTTGAATGTAATATTGTTCTATATAACTATTACGTTTTTGGCGAATATCCCATATAGGGAATAAGCTATTACCGTAGTACTTATGGTAACACCTGGACCCGTGGGACCGATTTAATTTTTCGTTTTGAGGTCCCTAGAGGCCAAAAACACCTTCCGTTCAAATTCATATATACAGGGTGATCAACTCAAGGAGTCCACCATTGGGAAATCGGAAACGGTAAGAATTAGAGAAAACTTTAAATGGCGCACATACCTTTAATTTTTGTGGCAGTTAAAATATGATTTTAGTTTTTTATCATGTTTTCGGATAGAATATGCAATTTAAAAACTTTGTTAGCTTTGAGATTTTTTTGATAAACCCACTCGTTTAGGATTACAGCCTATGGAAAAATGAGTTCCGGTTTACATTTTACATCATGTAGCTCCTAAACGAGTAAGTTTAGAGCAAAATTGCAAAAAGTAAATCAGGCTTATAATTGCATCTACATTCCTTTAAGACTATAAAATAAAAAGTTTTCCACTTTTCAAGTTTGCCGCCATTTTTTTAAATAATATAATTCATATTTTTAATGAATTTTATGGTCTTTTTGGAATGTGGATGCAATTGTAAGACTTTTTTACTCTTCCCATTTTTGCTATAAACTTACTTGTTTAGGAGCTACATGATGTAAAATGTACACCGGAAGTCATTTTTCCATAGGCTATAACTCCTAAACGAGTCGGTTTATCGAAAAAATGTCAATTATAAAAAAGTTTTTAAATTGCATATTCTATCCGAAAACATGATAAAATATAGGGTGTTCCATAAGAAATTTCAATCCTGAATTTCGAAAAACTAAAATCATATTTTTAACTGCCACAAGAAATAAAGGAATGTCCCCCATTTAAAGTTTTCTCTAATTCTTACCGTATCCGATATCCCAATTACAATTGAAATTGTAATTGGACACTAGCATAGACAAAGAGAATTAAAAGTACCAGTGCACTTGTTGTTACCTCCCCCCTTCGGTTTCATGTATTCCTCTCAATCACTTCAAACCTAGGAGGATTAAACATTAATGTTAATTAATGTTAAATCCTCCTAGGTTCAAACCTGAAACACCCAGATCGAAACTCGCCTGTCGTTATTTTAACATCGCTTAATTTTTTTTACTATATTTTTCAAAAAAGGAAGATTAAATTGATTTACTTTGGATTTTAAAAAGTGGACGTTTTATTTTATTAAAGATTTATGGTGATACGTAAATATTGTGGTATAGTAAAGTATATTATATTGTAGTTAAGTGTTAAATTTTGAAATTTTAGGGTGAATCGAGATGAATCTTTTTTTATAACATGGGTCTCTCCTACCTTAACGTACATACCAAGTTTCATAAACATCGGTTGGAAAAGTGTAAAGATAAATATTTGTATGTAAAAAATACAAAATGGCGGATATCTGGTTAACGAAACGATTTTGGAAAAAAATGTTATCGTTCATTTTCTGTTTATTTTGACCCAAGGAATTACTAGGTAAAGTGTCTCTCCGCTTATTTTTAACACCTTGTTTGTGATGTATTCTTATTAATATAAGTGAAAAATGTAAGCTGGTAATACAGAAAGATGTTTTATAAATAATATGAATGTACTGGTAATCTGTAGGTATATTCATCTTTTTCTTGTCCTTAGAACTGTAAATTAAAAGTCCACTCAGCAGTCGCATCGTACGATGTAGTTCTTTCCATGCGTTGCGAAATGCTAAATTTGCCGTCCTCTTCAACCCAAGTTATCTATTGAACCACTGATTGTAAAAAATTCAAAAAAATATATTTTACGCATCACACTTTTTGCTACAACTTTGCCACAGACAAAACCTCTCTAACCCAAAAACAAACAAAAATCTCGCATGCTAACTTTTTCATGTTAGAAATCACGATTTAAAACTATTTCACCATACATATCAATTTTTATTAATTAGATCGGTAAATAGTTTAAAGTTCCAACAAAATAGTCATTGAGTAGGACTAACCAAGAAGCTCTGTGCCAATTTTCAAAATTTTAGCACAACTTTAAGTACACCAAAACACGAAATTATTGAAGTCATGCGTCGAGAGGACCATCGTTGTTTTTAACAGATTATACTTTTGACCTTCCGGCACTGTTGACTCAGCGAAACTGAACTTATATTTTATCTTATTTCGTTTTATTAAAACTGCTGTTGCATTATGTCAAATTCCCAATAAGTCAATTGCTTTAACATAGACTACGTTTTTAGCCCAGACTGTACTATTTGACTTACTGGGATTTTTGATCTACAGACACTGCAAACATTGTAGTTTTTGACCTAGCGGCACAGGTATAAATTATTTGACCTTCCGGGACTGTTGACTTTCTGCAACGCGTCCGTAGGACCCTTTGGCATGCTAAAGTAAGAGTGTATAAAAGTCGCTGTAATACTTAAAATAATTTTTTCTTCCATAATATTTGGTATGTACGTGTTCAGGAAAGTGTGTTCTACAAAACTAAATAATAAAAAATGTTTACATAAATTTTATATTTGACGGCGTACCCTATTCGTCATGATTAGTAGTAGGACCTCGGGCATGCTAAATTAAGCTGCAAGAGTTAATAAAAGTAGTTGAAAATTTCAAAAAATATTTTTCTTCCTTAATATTTTATTATCTACGTGTTCAGAAAAGTATGTTCTACAAAACTAAATAATAAAAAAAAATTTTTTAAAAATCATGTTTGACTGCTGGGTTACCTCAAAGCAGTCGCCGGCAACTGACTGGCTGACTGACTGACTGGCGTTGTATACTGACTTG